ATGTTATTTAACTAGAACGATATCCCCAAACATTCCATTCATTGGTCTCATATCAGGTGGATGCACAACAGCTAAGCACGTGGTTGCTCACAAGTGGAAGAAGAAGGAAAAGACTGAGGAAATATCTGAGGAAGCAAAGCATATCCTATTACATAGTGAAGAAGAATGTCTCGACTCGGAGAGCCGCACGACTGGGGAAACGCCTGGGAAGGAACTGAATTTGAAGACATAATTAATGAACTGATTGAGAAAACCAACGCTAGCAATGAGAGGCTGGATAAGATTCAAAAAACTTTGAACTCAATAGAGAAAGACTTATACGCACTTAGGAATAAGATCATACTACCCCTCCAGAATGACTTCTACAACTTTAAAGATGATACAGTTAAAACAGTAGTAAAGATATACAAGAACCTTCATGGAGTTTAGTATTTTATTTGCTGTAGGATGTAAACAGTAAGCGGCTGAGTGGGAAGAGGGAATGCTGCTTCATAAATCAAAATAAAATAGCCATAAAATAGGCCCAAAATTTTTTACATATATAGTGTAGGGAAAGATGGAAAAACTATTCAGGAACCAGGAGTTGAATGTTAGCGTGAGAACTGTGAGGTGTGGTGACGAGGTGTTGTTCTACGCAAAAGATGTGGCAGAATCTCTAGGGTACTCAAACCCTCAAAAAGCTGTCAGGGACCACATTTGGAAGTTAAATAAGGTAGTTGTGAGGGACCTTCAAAGGGTACCCAAAACGTTCACCTTGGAAAAGTGTCACCCGCAAACAACACTACTATATGAACCAGGAATATACCAACTAGTATTCAATTCTAAACTTCCAATAGCGGAGGCCTTTCAAGATTGGGTATTTAAGGAAGTCCTTCCATCTGTCCGGAAAACGGGATCTTACAACTTACTAGATAGAAGGTCACTTAGGTTCAACCAAATAATCCTTATAAATGAAACGGACCTTCATAATGCCATTGTGAGTTACATCAGAGATAACTACCCAGAGGCTGTAATATTACCTGGTCTAGGTGAGTATCAGGACACTGTGTCAAAGAGATGTGATGCCTGGAAGAAGGGATATAAAGGTGGTCAACCAGATCTTATCATAGAGAATCCTATGGGAAAGTACAAAGGATTTGCTATTGAATTTAAGTCTCCTAAGGGCACCGGAGTTATAAGTGATAAGCAGGATATATGGTTCAGGAAACTAAGGGGAATAGGGTACATGACAATGGTATCAGATGATCTGGTAAAGACTTGCATTAGAATCAACGAGTACTTCTCACTTAAGAAAACCATAAGGAAAGTTGCAGTGAAAAAAGTAGTTTGTGACGTGAAGACGTACAGACCAAGGTTCAATTCAGGTAAGTTTTGAGACATCTCACAAACAAATTTAAGTTATCTCACAGGTAGGTTTGAGTTATCTCACCAGTTATCTCACCAGTAGATTTGAGTTATCTTACAAGTAAATTTGAGACATCTTACCAACAGATTCAAGTTATCTCACAAGTAGAATCTAAGATGTCTCATAAGACTAAACCCAGTTAAACCTGAGGTATCTTACAAGTATTATGGAAGATAAACCTGAGCAAATCCAAGCACAAGTAACAAGTGAGAAGAAGAAGGACCCAAAGAGAGTAGCGGCAGGAAAACGATTAGCTGCAATCAGTAAAATAGCAAAGGAGAGGAAAAAGAAACTTGCGGAACCTAAGGAGCCATCAAGTAATGACAGTATGATTACCTACATAGGAGTGGCCATTGCACTGGTATCTCTAGTGCTAGCATACAAGTCGCATCAGAGGGAAACCAGGGAACAGGAACCCAAACACGTAACTGAGACTGTTGAGATAACTAGGAAAGCTGACGAGTCTAAGTTAGATTCACTTGAATGATACATTAAACATAATATATATTATAACAAGATGAGTAAAGAATCAAAGATGACTATGGACGTGTACAACGCAGTGTTACTTACAGCAGGAGCAGTCGGTATATCAATGGCGTCGAAGAAACTATTAAAAGAACCATTAGGCACCCCAGAGAACGTAAAAGGAATGGCAAAGTTAGCTGTCTCAGTTAGTCTTTCATCTCTACTAGTATCTTACCTGAAAGATAAGAAGTATCTACCAGATGATCCATTCAAAACCTAGGTAAAACTATACAATGGCAGGAGCAGCAGCAACAGCAGCAGGAGGACTATTTAACGCATTTGCATTTGCTGGAGCAGGATACCTATTTAAGATGTTTGATAAGAACGGATATGCTAAGGAAGCCCATAGACATAACATTGCAATGGAGAACCTAACAGCTGAAAGAGAGAAGTACCTTGAAGAAGTCACTGATAGGAGAAACAGACTTGCCCAATTAAGGTTAGAACTAGCTGAGGCAAATAGGGATATTAATGCAACAAATAAATCACTGGAACTCGTTAGAAGAATCAATGAGTTAACACGTAAGGCTATGCCGAGGAGGCCGCAGTTAAGCAATCACTACAAACCTAGCTCTGAGATGGAAGAATATATGGCAATCTTCGGTTTAATTATAGGTGGGGTGGTTGGAGGGGCAGCTTACTTAATTCTATAAAAAATACAGCAATTTTCTTTTACATATATAATATAGAGAAATGGATTGGCTTGCAATGGTAGACGTTGACGAAGTGGTGGCCCTGGGAAAAAGGGTGGACACCATAGAAGAACTAGAGGTCGCAGTCAAAAAATATGTGGAATGGCGAATAATAAGGAGACGTAAAAATAAACCACAAAAACAAGCAGAAAATTTTAACACATATAGTATAGGGGATGGACTGGCTGACACTGGTAACACCTGATGAAATGGAACGAGTCGGTAAGAACGCAAACACCATTGAGGAGCTAGAGGCTATAGTAATGAAATACGTGAGAAATAAAATGAAGGTCAAACATACATACGATCCAGTATGTAGTGAATGTGGTAGTAAGTCAATTGTGGTAATAGATGGAGCAGATACATGCACACGTTGCGGAACTAGTGCTATGAACAACTTCACATACTACGTTAGTTACAATCACAACAAGGACGACTACCTGAAAAAGAAATCGTCCCATAATAGAGTCCGTTGGTTTGAGAGACACTTATTCGAGCATGTTGCTTCTGGGGATAGGGATACCATACGGGAGCAGTTTAGAAGCATCGTAAGATGTATACAAAGACTTAGACTGCAACGGGGGCGCAACATAGTTAGATATAAGTTTTACCTACTAAGGTTAGCCAGCATGAACAACATCATGTTGAGAAACCCACCTGAGGACATCAAGACTCAACGAATTGTGAACATCCTTGAGGACAGACTATATGGAAAGGTTTTTCCCGAGTTGGGATGGAAACCCATAAATTGTAAATATTATAATAACTGGAAATTCAGACATAAATAAAATATTAATTATTGGATTAAATAAAATATTAATTATAAAATTAAATAAAATATTAAATTAAATAAAATATTAAATTAAATAAAAGTAAATAATTAAATAAAAATAAATAATTAAATACAAAATTAAATAGGCCTTAAAATTGGCCTATTTTTTTTTACCTATAGTATATAGAGAAAGAGTGAAAAAATGGCGAGTAACTTTAACATGAACGATATGACTGTTGAACAACTTATGGCGCTCAGTGAGATAATTGATGATAGCGATTATGAGGAAAATCTCGAGGATGAAGTGGAGAAAATATCTGAGGATAAGTTCTATCGAGTTGCACCTAAGGATAAGGGCAAAGATCCCTTTGAAGGAGAAAGACAATTCATAGATGAAGGTGACCGTTCTACTGACCCAAAAAGACCAAGGAGACTCCCACTAAACTACAAGGGTAAGAGGGGAATAATGCCGACATGGAAATATTCCGAGAGACAGAAGGCAAAGGCTTTACTAGTCGAGGAGGCGTATCAGAGCTTACTTAGTAGAGGAGTTGAAGGTCTACCACCAACAATGGGAGGTAGATGGAGAACGGATGATCCTCAGGTAAATGCGGAGATGAAGAGGTTAGAGAACCTTAGGAACCCCAAGCGTCCAAGAGGCAGACCACCAAAGGCCAAGGCTGACGGTGCTGTTAAGGCTCCCCGAGGACGACCACAAAAGGTTAAGTCCGACGCTGAGGTTGTGATTCCAAAGAGACGTGGAAGACCACCAAAGGTTAAGTCTGACGCTGGGGTTACGATTCCAAAGAGACGTGGAAGACCACCAAAGGTTAAGGTATCTGAAACACCAAAACCTAAGGTTAAAAGACAAACTGTCGCGGAGAGGTTCATAAGTCAAAACCGAATAAAACTCTCGGTTCCCGCGGATAGCGTAATAACTCAGGTGGGACCAAGTAAGTTCACGGTGACTGTGGATCTTAGTAAGAAACCAACAAGGAAAGCTCCTGAGGTACCGAAGGGTGCGGCTCCATGGAAACCTAGGGAAAGACCAGTTCCTAAACCAAGAACTGTAACCCCTAGGGAAAGACCTATTCCCAAACCAAGAACTGTAATTCCTAGGGAAAGACCAGCCCCCAAACCTAGGACTAAAAAGCCTGTGCCTCCTCCAAAGTTAAGAAAGCCTGTGAAGGTAACCAAGGAAGTTGGGAAACAGCCAGTAGTGGTCGCACCAGAGGAACATGAAATTGATCCTTTTGGAACATACCTTGAGAAGCCATCCTATAGGAAAATAGAAACTGCCGCAAATGGAGCAGCTGTGACTTACTCGATAACTCCAAATTATATGGATCCCCTAAACCAGATGACCGCAAGTAGGCAGGTGGTGAGGGGAGTATTAGTGAACGAGTTGAAGAGAATGGGAGGTCTGAAATATACGGAAACCATCAAGGTAAGAATGTCGAAGGAAATCGGAAATGATAAAACAAAGAAGGATTCAATATACTTCAAATCAAAAACAGGAACCGCAACCAACTTCGAGGATATCGAAAGCACTGCAGCCCAAAACCAACTGACAATCTTATCCAGAATTGAAACCTTCCAGAACTTAGGTTCAAATTGGATTATCCTAAACATTGAAAGCCACTATGTTAATATTGCGATGTACAAACCTCTAAAGGGTAGTTCATATATGAAATTACCCGCAGACATCAGCAATCCAAAATGTGGTTTAATTAACATGAAAAACAACGACGAGAAATGTTTCATGTGGAGTCATGTGAGACATGTAAGACCAAAGGCCAGGAGAGCAACCACCATAACACGACAGGACATAGAGTTCGCGGAAAACCTAGATTATGAGGAAATACACTTCCCCGTGAAAATAAGCGATATTGATAAAATTGAGAGGAAGAACTCAATAAGTATATCAGTGTTCGGCTATAAGGGTAAGAAGCAGTTCTATCCAATTAGAAACTCCAAAACAAAATATGACGAGCATATGGAGCTGCTGCTGTTAGGTGACAATGAAGGTGGTAACCATTACGTTCTAATAAAGGATGTAAATAGAATGCTCTTCAGTGTTAGCGGAAACTCGAACAAGAAACACTTCTGCCTACACTGCCTCCATAGTTGCGTCAGCGAAGAATCATTGAAGAAACATAGTGAAACGTGTATTGAGGTAAATGGAACTCAGGCCACAAAGCTTCCAAGTGAGGGTACAAAAATAAAGTTCAAAAATCATAGGAACTCAATGCCTGCTCCATTTGTGATCTATGCTGACTTTGAGTCTATGCTAGTTCCTGAGGAGAGAAAAGTTGATTCTGAAGACGCTGAGGACAAAAGTACTACAGAACTTTACCAAACACATAAAGCCTGTAGTTTCGGGTTGAAAACAGTGTGCCACTACGATGATCAGTACTCTGGTGAATATGTAAGTTACGTTGGTAAAGACGCTACAGAAGTATTCTTGAAGACAGTTCTAAAGGAGTCCATTAGGTGCCGAGAGATGGTGAATAAAATCTTCAAGAAAAAGATGGTAATTACACCAGAACAAGAAGCTGAGTTCTGGATGACAAGAAACTGTTCCATACGTGGTAATGACCTGGGTGATGACAGAGTGAGAGATCACGATCATGTAACTGGACTGTTCCGTGGAGCTGCTCACAATATGTGCAACTTGAAATATAGAATTACATGGAAAGTTCCAGTGGTCTTCCACAATCTAAGAGGTTACGATAGTCATCTAATAATGCAGGAGATTGGTAAGTTTAAGATGAACATCAACGTTGTTCCAAACAACATGGAAAAATACATTTCCTTCTCGTTAGGTAAAAGTCTTGTGTTCATCGACTCAATACAATTCATGGCTTCTTCCCTGGAGGCACTTGTGAGTAACCTTTCACCTGAAGACTTCAAGATAGTCGGTCAGCGGTGGCAAGGTGAGGACTTCGATCTTGTGAGACAAAAAGGTATATTCCCTTATGAATACCTGGACGACATAAGCAAGCTTGACACTGAGGGGCTTCCAAGTAAAGACAAATTCTACTCATCTCTATACGAGTCTGAAGTGAAAGAAGAAGATTACCAGAGAGCTCTAAAAGTCTGGGACCACTTCAAGATGAAAACAATGAGGGACTACCACGATCTCTACCTGGAGACTGACGTTCTTCTTCTGGCAGATGTTTTCGAGAATTTCAGGAAGACCTGCTTGGAAAACTACAAGCTTGACCCTGCTCACTACATCTCAGCACCAAGTCTAAGTTGGGACGCATTCCTAAAACAGTCAGGAGAGGAAATAGAATTGGTAAGCGATATGGATATGTTCCAGTTCTTCGAGAAGGGAATGAGAGGTGGGATAAGTCATATTGCCCATAGACACTCTACAGCAAATAATAAGTACATGGAAACGTACGACGAAGAGGCTGAAAACAAGTTCCTTATGTACCTCGATGCCAACAATTTATATGGCTGGGCAATGTCTCAACCTCTACCAAATGGAGAGTTTGAGTGGGTTGAGGAAGTTGATAAAATAAACCTAGACGACTACCTTGGAGACAGTGGAAGGAGTATGGTCCTTGAGGTTGACATGGAATATCCGGAAGAACTTCACGATCTCCATAATGGTTATCCACTAGCCCCGGAGAGTAAGGAGATTGATGCGTCAATGTTATCAGACTACGCGAAGGATATTGCTGAGAAATTCCAGCTTACAATTGGAGGTGTAAGAAAACTGGTGAACTCCTTAGGTCCCAGGAAGAACTACGTCCTACATGCCCGTAACTTGAAACTATATACTGAACTCGGAATGAAACTTACGAAGGTTCACAGAGCAGTCTCATTCAAGCAGTCAACTTGGCTGAAAAACTATATTGACTTCAATACTCAAAAACGGTCAGCTGCTAAAAACGCGTTTGAGAAAAACTTCTTCAAACTTATGAATAATTCCATCTACGGAAAGACTATGGAAAATTTGAGGAAGAGAGTTGATGTAAAATTAGTGTCATCAGAAAACGACCTCCTAAAACTTACAGCGTCGCCGTGCTTCCAATCACATAGGATTATGAATGAGAACTTAATTGTGGTAAAGAGAATGAAGGAAGTGCTAACTCTGAATAAACCGTGCTATGTGGGAATGAGTATCCTGGACTTGTCTAAGACTCTGATGTACGACTTCCATTACAACACGATCAAGAAGGAGTACGGTAACAAGTCGAAGCTCCTATTCACAGACACTGATAGTCTAATGTACGAGATCAAGACTGATGATGTGTATAAGGACTTCGAGAGGATCGGTAAGGAGCAGGACTGTTGGGACAACTCAGATTATCCGAAAGATTCTCCATATTACTCAGCTCATAATAAGAAGGTAATTGGAAAGTTTAAGGATGAAGCTGGAGGAGTGCCGGTGATTGAATTCGTAGGGTTAAGGTCAAAGATGTACTCCTACGTGAAGGAGAGTGGTGGAGGTGGAATGACAGCGAAAGGTGTGAAAAAGTACGTGATCAGAAACAAACTCACTCACGAAAACTTTAAGAACGTAATCAAGACCAAGGGTAGGATGAGACATAAGATGAACACAATCCGAAGCATCAAACATAAAATCGGAACTTACCAACTAAAGAAAATCACACTCAGCTGTTTCGATGATAAACGGTACTTACTTGAAGATGGTGTTTCAAGTTACGCGTACGGGCACCACTCAATAGAAGATCTAGAGGCTGAGGTGGTGATTGAAGAAAAAGTGGAACCAAGATGTGTACTAGAAAGGGTTGAAACTCAGAGTGAATACTGTAGACTCGAGGAAGCAGTAGAACTCTACGAAGGCCCTCCCTGGGAAAATCTAGAACCAAAAGAAGAGAAACATATTCCCAGACCAGAATACAAAGTAGTGATTCCACTGAAGAGATTTAAGTTCAAGAAACCAACACCATTGAGGGTAGTCGTAACAGATGAGAATCATCTAAGGAAAAACTACGACATATTACCAAAAGATGAAAAGAAATATTTAAGAATGGTGTTGGGAGAGAAAGCGAAGTCACTGGGTGTTCAGGCAATCAGAACCCCTGGAAGTAATAAGTTGATTGCAATTGGATTTTGAGTAAATTGTTAAATAGAAATTTATAGATTGGATGAAAGTCGACTGGAAATATTCAACGTTGAAGATGGGCGGAGAAAGTGGTCTAGAAAAAGTTGGCGGGAATACTGCAGGATTCTTGTTGATTTAAGACGAAAATAAAAAAGTGATGATAGAGCCTAGATCAGTTAGTGGTCTAGAACCCTCATTCCCTATACTACTAGCTTGTTTCATAGGGTATCAGATTTCAAAAACACGAAGTCGAAGGCAATGCTATTCCATGTACAAATTTCGGCATGCACATGTCAAAAATAAGGGGAAAAAATGTTTAAAAATTAAAAAAGCCCATTATCATTTGGTGATTTGCAGAAAATTAGGTACTTGAATTATGCAAAAACATCAAAATGAAGCTAGTTTTCATATATAGTGCATGAAATATTTGAAAGTTAAAAATTTTCCGCGCTTGTAAAACTATGACATCGCTGTGAACATATATGCATTTTGGAGTCTTTTGGACATTTCAGTTGCATACTGTAAGTTCGAAAAGAGAGATAAAACAACCTTTAACATAATAAAAACGGAATTTTCTGTTTGTTCCTTATAATTGAATATTTTCTCTTGCATTAATTTGAATGTCTGAACATGTTAATGAAAATGTTTCCAATGTTTTCGAAATGACAATTGTTTCCTAACTTTATCAATACAAGGTCACAAGTTATGTTGTTGTAAGTTACGCAAGTGACCTGGTCATAAAACTTTAAATTAAAAAAAGCCAACAAAAGCCCATTTTCTAACCTTTACAGGTCGAAAGTATAATTAATTATAAATAATTTAAAAGGTTGAAGTTAACTTTTTTTCCACTCGGTCTGGCTAAAAAATTCGACTACAACTTGTCATTGCCTGCAAAATGTAAATATATTTTATGATAAAATCGCTATGTATTCAAATAATTTCACAGTTTAAAAATGCTTTTCCAACTCCAACGATGTAATTTGCAATACTAATTAATTGTAAGAGTCTCTATTTTATAACAAGTTAATTTTTTCCATGCATTTTAAGGATAGATTTACCTTAACAAATTGTACTTTTTGATTGCCCTTTAAATATTTTTGTTTCTTGTTTTTGCTTCGCTTCATCTTTAAAAATCCCGCTATTTCCGCGCATTTTGCGCGATCGCGCCAGTCTCCCGTGCATCACACATGGATAATGCAAATATTAGCGCGTTTCACCGCCCGTGTTTTACTACGCCCTGGTGTAACTTACCTCGATTTTGATCGGATATACGATATACTCATGTACTTGTCCTTGGAACGTTTTTAAAGGATAAGAGATATAAAGCTGAATGGCTTGTAGATCACTTTCGCCTGTATTTGTAAGCTGTAGAGTAAGAGGGGAAAATAAATAAGGAATCAAGTCAAAGGGTAAAAGCTATTATCAAAAGACTTTAAATATTGGATGCGTCTATATTTCAAATTAAGACATTTCGATACATTAATTAAGACAAATAGAGTCATCGTATTCTTGATACATTTGGTTCATTAATTGAAACTTTAATCTATATTCATTTAAAAGCATAGCAAACCAAATGATGTTAGATATTTAAAAAACCAAGTGCATTATATTTTATGAATACAGTGGACTCTTCGAAATGCAAGCAAAACGTGAACGGACTAATTGACCGCCTCTTCAACAATCTGGCTTAATTTTTTATGCGCCAGTGTTATGTAGTGAACATTATTGTGTTAGGTCATCCAGTCTCTTGTCAGTAGTCTAAATATAAGGCTTTGTTTTAGAAATAGACCCTGCATGGCACAAACCTTAATCTAGGTGCTCTTCACCCACAATAAAGTAAGTTTATATTTGGTATCAAAATGTCTCAGGAGAAATGTCAATTTCACATAATAAATAGCAAATTGAATCTAATTATAAACTACTGCAGTTGGCTACGAGTTAGCTAATGACCTGTGAGTCTATATCCAATACCTTCAGAACCATTAGTCGTGCCCAGACTGCGCGCGATTCCTATGTAACTTCAATTAAAACTACTAAATATATCATGAACAATACTGGTATAATCTAATTAGCACTAACCAATCAAAAGACAGATTTTGATTAAATGATGACGATTAAACCCTGGTAGAACATATTTCCGACAAGTTTAAGGTAATTCCTCAGTTTTGCATTACCTCATAATCTGCATGGCCAAGATGGCGCCATATTTGAAAGAAGTGGTATATTTGCACGACTAAACGGTTTAGGAAAATATTATTCTAACAAATGTTTTGCAACAATAACTGAAAGTTAGTTTCTAGTCTGTTTTGATGTTTGTAAATAATCTTGGTTTAATTGCAGATGTAAGTTCTGACGTAGTTTACCCATTTTGGTTACAATATCAGTTTTTTTAATAAAATTTGTGCTTGTCACATCTTCTAATTTAAACGAGTTCGGTGACGCCAAAATTGTTTACTGGTTTTAGTTTTACTATACTGTAAGTATATCACAAACTTCAGCCCTGGCAAGTTTCCGAAAATTTTCATTTCGGAAACAATTACTGCAGACGAATCACCTCCAAGTAAAAGTGCAACAACAAAAAAGTATTAATATGTTGATTGATAATACAACTACCTAAAAACACAAGCAGAACGTCGACGTTTCGAGCGATGGCCTTCGAAGAATTCTCGTTAAATCCTCGATAAAGTGTCTTCGCTCGAAACATCGAAGTTATGCTTGTATTCCCAGGTAGTCTATCTCTCTCAATATAGCTTTCTTTTTATCGTCGCTATCTACATTAGCACAGATCGTTTGTGTCAATATGTTGGCGTTCTCGATTGGCCTCCGCTCCAATATTTTGCAAAGTGAGTAGATGTATGCAATGGACCTACCTCAAAGGTAACTGTGAAAAGTGGTCCAACCGCAGAAATGTTCACAGCTGAGAAGTTATTGTTGTTTTGAATATTTAAAACAGGTACGATTGCAGAATAGTTCAACAGTCTTGGAACTGACGAGCTAAAGAAGAAGAAAACATGGCGAAATCAATGATATTATGGCACTTAACTTAAGGTAGGTTTTCGTGATTTAAAATGGGATTTGATACAAAAGTTACTTTTAAGCGTGTGTGAACACAAATATATATCTGTATATATATTTAATAATTTCTAAAATATAATTATAATATGTGGGAACTGGATTAAAAACTGCATTTCTATCACTTTGTGTGAAGAAGTTTCAGTTTGCTTCCTTACATGAGCGCTATGATGGAAAATGCCGCCAAAATTAGATATATCAACTTTCTGGCGACGTCCGTGTGACATAAACGTCGCTTGCTTAAAGGATTAGTGTCACACCGGGAATTCGCAGGCTCAAACTCCTGCTGGCGGCCATTTTTCGGGACGAATAGATTAGATGATCTGGAAAGTGTTTACAATCCGTCATATATTTAAACCATCCTTTTATAATACTTGCTCTTTTTGTGTGATATTTATCAGAAATGTACCAAACAAGGTATTTTTATTGCTATTTGTTGTATTTGTATTTAAGTAAAATGTAAACAATAACAAAAGCCCGCAATGCATGACCCTGATACTAATCTTTAAGCTCGCCATTATCAATTCTTCCACAAGCGAACAGAGAACAGACTTTTTTAAATGTTGAATCTAATGATGAGTCAACAACCAAAAAGCCTACATAAGTGATTAAAATTTTAAAACGTTTATAACTATGCCGGATGCCTTCAGCCTAGTTTCAGTCGTTCTGAAGCAAGCGCGAGAAGAAACGCGGATGTAGTAATAGACTGGGACCTAAGTGTGACGTCACAGCTGAAGGTGCTTCAGAACGCCTAGGAGATTTCAGTATTTTCAATATGGCGGATAATTTGTACACGTGCATTCTCAAGGATTGGGAAAAAGTTTCGACTGTAAAAAGTTGTGCAGAATCCAAAGATTTCTGCGCGGAAATTAAGGAGAAAATTGGGTTTTTTTAAAGATTTTAATTCGCAACAATATTTGCCCTCTACATCAGATTGTGTCGCTTTAGAAACATGGGCCGATAGTTGGTGCTTCCGCTCCTTTTCCATTATTTTCCGTTTTCATTTCTTTTCCACCGGGTGGGGCAAACAGTTTGATTTACTATGACTTAAAAAGTAAAAGAGCTAATACACTTAAAAAAGTCACCGTATATTCCACGATGTTTAACTTAAATATTGATATTTGTCTCGTACCTTTTCTTGCAATATTGACTGACCATAACTGTGTTTAAACTTAAGCAAACATTTTTGGAACCGCCGAGAATTAGCTGAAAAGGCACTATTAATTAAAAGCAATTGAATAACCTTTACCATTTTCTCGCGATTATTGTTTTAGTTAGTGGGTTGGTTTGACGAGATCAGTTGTTCTGGATCCACACTTTGTTGAATTAAATCATGACACGAACACGAAAGAGTACTTCCAATTGATTGGGACAAGTCTATGTGTGATTCAAATACCACCAGTTCTGAAGCACAATTTGAGAGAGATTCGTGAAGCGATTGTTACAGCATGCCGCAACTTGAAACAGCAAATGATCCAAAATTCTTTCGATTGAATGATTTCACGGGCAAGACGTTGCATTCGTGCTGGGGGACATGCATTTACTGATGAATGTAGACGATTGTTTTTTAACCACAAGAGTGAATGTACTGACAATAAAGAATAATGCGTCTTAACACAATTCATTGCATGTTGTATGTATTAATGATTAGTAGGCCATTTTTAGCTAATTTCGTCAGTTCCAAAAATGTTTACTCCTGTTTAAATGCATGTATCTTTGACAATATGGAGCCGAAATGGGGTACTTCCTCGGGTAGAAGAATTTGCATCACATTTGCAACGTCATCAGTTAGTTATAGTGATTAGTGTTGAGGTTAGGGCTAGGGTAAGGGTTAGGGTTAGATTAAGGATTAGGCTTAGAAATAGGGATTGGGTTATATCTGACGCCACAAACAACACAACTAGCCGATCACGTGATCAGTTCTCCTCTACCCGAGAAACTAGCCCATAAACACCGCTGAATGCCAATAAACTTGTTTTCAAGTGTCATTGCAATTTTTGTTTTGATTTTGTAGCAATTCAAACAGTCGTACTTTTTTTGCCCCACCCGGTATTTATAAATGCGGTGTGCTTGGCCAGGGACCACTTTTTTTTAAATCAGGGACCATTTTACTGAAATCTGCTAGATTCATGCACGCGCTGAAGCGCTCGGCACAGCACACCCAGGCATAAGACTAATTAAACTTTTTTAAATATATCAAAACAGTGTAGGACCGTGCTGGGATGACCTCTAACAACACTAATGGGAAATAACTCTTTAACCTTCGCCTGTTGAAGTGAGGAATTGAAATTATTAAAAAAAGTGTATACAATGTACCCGGTTATTCTTATAGCGACGTCACGTTTAACAGAGACAGAAGCAGTGGCATTGTTGTCTTTCTCGTCCTTCTCTCGACCAACCCTCCTAAACATATAATTTAAAAAGATCATTATTAGGGAGAAGCGACATTTTTGGCCCAGGAAATTTTCGTGAAGAAATTTAGCATGTTCGTGTTTGTACGGTATAAATCATGAAATGGTGGGAGGCATCGTGACCTCCGAAAATGTATGTAAGCCTGTAGTGCTGGAAATATTGGGGTGCAAGTCTCCAGCCCTACTGACTGTTCTGTACTAGCAATATCAAGCATATTACAACTTCGTCACTTAGTTAAGGAGAGGAGCATTAGAAAAGTGATGGGCAAGTAGAAATATCTGAAACGGAGTATTATATCTAGCAGTCCTAGTGCATTAGTAAATTTTATAAAATACTTTATTGAATTCCGATCGTTTAATTGGCTGTTTATGGTCATGTGATATTGAATGGAAAATTCCATGTCCCAAGAGTGCAATGGAATACGTTCCATTGCACTCTTTGCGAGTGCGATTGTACTATACGTTTTATTCCATTGCACTCTTTGTGCTTTCAATAAATCGCACCCGTCAAAATGCTTCTCGTACGGTGATCGCAGTTTATTTTAACCAGATATTCGAAACTTAGTAAATAGGATTTAATGCAAATACGACTCGTCAAAATGGCGGAAGCTTACAGTAGATCTTTTAATATTAGTCTATTTTGGTATTATATAAAACAAATAATGAATGTTTTTATTCGTGCAATGGTAATAATATTTTCATTCGGTGAAAGATGGAATGTTCCATTCCACTCGGCTGTCGCCTCGTTGAACAAAACATTCCATCTTTCACCGAATGAAAATATTATTACCATTGCGATCATAAACATTCATTATTTGTCAGGTTATGCGTAATTTTAATTTCAAAACACCATGTTAT